CCCACCTGCCAGTCAATCCTGCCACCAGGTGCCTGTGGTTCTGACGTTTGGCTGAGTGTTTTGGCCAAACCGACGTGCACTGAAGCATGTTTGGAGCAGATTAACACCCATAGCCACCTGCACGGGTTTCATCTTCCCCTCCAACGCCCTTCCGTCTTTAACATGGTTAATACTGAACAACAGGACGCCTTTGGGGACGCAGCCATTTGGAAAGCAAGGTCTGAGGGACCACGATCAGGACGACTTTTGCTGGGAGACGGAGTGTTCCCGCTGCCGGGGCCCAGACTGCCAAACCTCGGGCTTCCCTCTGGGCAAGAAAACACCATGGGATTCTTTTCAAAGTTCCTTTCCTCGGTCCATTTTGAAACCGAAGTTTGGTTTCATAACCACTTCCTTGCCAACAACCCCAAGGAGATTGTGGAAGGCAAGAAACATCACCTCATCTGCGTGGATGCCAAGGAGGTGAAGCAACAGAAGTTACAACAGAGGGTCCTGTAGACTTTCTTATTCTGTGACACCGCTTGCCTTTTGCTCCGGCAGAGCAATCCCCGGCGACTTTTTTTTTTTTTTTTTGCTACCACCTGCCTCTGTGAACGAGCATTTCCAACACTTGTTTCCAAAAAAAATCCAAGTTGGATCCACAGACAAGATGTGCGATGCCACATGAAGCCTGTACTGACCGTCTGAGCCCAGTAAAAGTGACCCTTCCCGGCAGCACTGAAAGTTATGTTGTGTTGCGTTTGCAGAATTGGAATCTATTCCCATTTTGGGGGCAGTAACAGCCATTTTCCTTCTTGGGTGCTTAAAAAAAAAAAAAAAAAAAAAAAAAAAAAAAAAAAAAAAAAAAAAAAAAAAAAAAAAAAAAAAAAAAAAAAAAAAAAAAAAAAAAAAAAAAAAAAAAAAAAAAAAAAAAAAAAAAAAAAAAAAAAAAAAAAAAAAAAAAAAACCAACAGGGAGAGCCACACGATTCTGTACAAGCACCTTTTCATCTCGTCTTATTCTCTCTGTAAAGGAAAGTAATGTCCAATCCCATGGGAAAGCTCTGCACCCACGTTAATGTGTTTTCAGAAGCAGAGGGTGTGCAGTTTTCATATATGTGGCTCCAGTGAGGTTACGACAACGTTGGGGGGACGTGCCCCCCCGCGCCCCCAGCTGGTCATCAGTCCAGTGAGACCGGGGCACCCCCCAGAACGAGGAGAATGGGGGTCTCCAATGCTGCTTCCAGAACCCGCGGGGCAGGGCCCACAGGGAACGTATGCTGCCTTGACCTCTGGGGAAAACCCCCCTAATGGCCCACCTGCAAGCCCCCTCCTGGATCCGCCCCCACGGTCGGGCTCCGCTCTCATCACGGGGACCAGGCGCGGGGCCTGCTCATTCCTGAGGACTGGCTCCAGTTCCCCGCCAGCCCCGGCTGTGGGATTCTTCAAACAAGCCCACCACATCCTCCCGGGAACCAGCGGTCACCCCTCTTGCCACGACAAAGCCCGCTCCTGCAGCTCCTGGCCTCTCCCTCAGCTCCAAGTGCAGCCTTGGGGGGACCCTGCAGGGCACGTGGGGCTGATAAACTGCCGGGGACCCCATCCGTCCAGCATGCTGTGCGGGCGGTCCTCGTAACCTCAGGGTGAGAATCCCTCCCGAACCAAGGAGGTGAAGAGGAAGCAATCAAAACCAGCAGGACCCACCACGGGGGCCACGTCAGAGCCCCCGTCATGCGGGAGAACAGAGAACACAGCCCCTGACCCAGAGACCCTCCCGCCATTGCACGCGGGCTGGTTCGTACCACGTCGTCCAGAGAGAACTGGGACCCCTGGGCAAAGATGCTGCCGTTCATGGCTATCAGGGCACAGCCGTCGTAGTACAGCCGGTCCCCGTCACAGCCCTTCTGATTGGCCAGCAAGTAAATCCCGCCGTTCTGGAAAATGCAGGGGACGGCAACGGTCAACTGTGGTCCGTCACCCTCACCCTCCTCCGGCCCAAACACACGAAGCTTCAGACCCCCCTGCGACTGTGTCATAATTAGCCCTCCACCCCAGCAAGAAAATGTGCGCCTCCAGGGAATGTCCGCAGCTGTGGCGCTCTCGGCCTTCCAAGGTACCAGGCATCACACGAATCATCCATTCTCGCCTCCCAACTACCCTTCAAGGCAGGCGCTGTCACCTCCAGCAGACAGGAGGAGAGATGCAGCTTCAGAGAAGACAAACCCCCCAGGTCACGAAGCCGAGACTCTGTCCCAGGAAAGGGCAAACGCGGTCCCTGGTGTCGCGCTGCCAGCAAGAGGGGCGAACTCATGGGCGCGCCCCGCGCCTCGTTGTAGTGCCAACGGGCATCCTGGTTCCCGGTCACCATGTCACTCGTCCTGAGACCAGTATGATGGTCAAGAGCCCAGATGGCTGGGGTGTGAGCCCAGGGGCCACTTGACCGCCATGTACTGAGTGTCCTGCTCCAAAGAGCAGAGGTGTCAACAGCGCCTGGCCTGTAGGGCAGTTTTGAGGGTTAAATGAGGTCAGGCAAGTGGGGCCCGGGAAGGGGAGTCACGCACACCGATCAGCTGCGGCTGTAGCACCGAGAAGCACCGAGCATCCTCACACTCATGCCCCGCCCAATGCTGGGCGCTGGGGTCACAAGTGTGAGACAGACATGCTCCAGCATCCCCGCCGCCACCTACCTTGGTGGTGGCCACGGTCACCAGGTCCACCCTGGCGTGGGCTTTGCGCAGCACGTGGTGGCTGCCTGAGGCATTGGTGAAGATCTCCACGCCGTCCAGGCCCATGTCCACATGTGGGCTGTGGGCAGAGGAGGGCAAAGAAAAGACACCGGTGTCCCCAACCCACCCTCCCAGCCCCGCAGCTCCCAGGGCATCTCCCCAGCCCCAGGCCATGACGCCAGGATGGCTGCAAACTCCCAATCCTCCGGGGCCCAGCGAGGATGGGATCTATGGCGCAGAGGGCAAGGCTGACCTGTGGGGTGTCCAGAGTTCCTCACAGACCTCACTCCCGATGCACGTGTCCAGGGTGGAGAGGACAGCATCTCCAAAGGGCACGGTTTCCTGGGTCGGGAGACCAGAGCGCTTGAGACACCTTGGCCATCCCGTCTGGGCCATGAATTGAACCAGGACGCCAGATGTCACGCATGAGACTTGCACGAAGGCCACGATTTTGTTTCAAGTACTAATGAATCCTTCCTCGACCCGGAGCATTCCCAGCCCAGGGGCCAGCAGGCATCTCCTCCGCTGACCCAAGGGCCTCAGTCACACCTGGAAGCCGAGCTCTGAGCTGCTACGAGCTTGACTGTGGCTGCAACTAACTGTGACTCGGTTCCTGAAGCTTCCACGGGCCCAGACGGCCAGCGGCAGCAGCATCAGCTGGATGCTCTTTTGACATCATCTGTGCTCCTGGGGGTCCCATCCCCATGTCAGAAACAAATGGACTGAGCTCTTACAAAGTTCACGCCAGCTGACGGGTCATCCAGCCCCTGAACGGCAGGGCTGGGGCAGGACGCAGGGTCCCTGTGTCTCTAGGAGTTACGTTCGTGTCCCCCGAGGGGTGGGAGCTTCCAGGGCAGGGACGGAGCTGCCCCTGAGGCTGCCGCACCGGTCTGAGCAGTCACTGAGATGAGCAAGTGCTGACAGGATCACCCGGGCGTGGGGCCCACCTTGGCCTCCTCTCTCGGGGACCAAGTTTCAGCTGCGCTGCCATTTCACTCAGCCAAAAAATCATCCTGGCGGGCCTGGACCGCATCCCAGCACTCTTTGGGTCCCCTGACGTGTGTGTTAGTGAGTTCAACTCCCTTTATCACCAAGGGCAAGAACCGAGGGCAGGCCTGGCGTTTTCTGTTCTGATGCTTCTTGCCACGGACACAGCCCTCAGCCAGAATCCCGAGCTGGCCGTCCCGGGACCACTGCACACCCTGCAACAGGTGCCTCGCATTCCTTACCACAGGGGTAGGGCTGGAATCCTGACCCCATCTTCCTGTGACAAGACCAGGGCTCGTGGCCACAGGGTGATAAACAGAGCATGCAGGGGGGCTCTCAGCGACGGGCCCCTGACCTGAATCACCCAGGTTACAGCAGTTATGGGCTGGCTTTGCCCTGTTTCGTGAAAACTCCCCTGAACTTTGATCCACTTGCACCCAGGGCCAATTTCTGAAACTCGCTCTCAACCAGTGACACCAAGCAGCATCCTTCCACCTGCAGGCGGCCCCCACATTGGTTTAGAGGGGTCAGGATATCAAAGGGTCCTAGAAGAATGAAATGGAGGATTTCTCGCAGCAGGGGGATTGCTGCTGAAATGTTTGTTTCACACACACACACACACACACACACACACTCACTGTGTTCTGGATCACGATGAACTTAAATTGTTCCCACTGCTGCAACTCGCAGTCAGAAAAGTTTCCAGGTCACGTGGGAGGAGACCAGACCTGGCTGAGAGCCCCTGTCCCCAACCTCAGCTGTGCCCAGCACTGACTGCCTCGCGGGAGGCACCAACCCAAGCTGGCCCCTCGGACGTCCTCTCTTAGGGATCAGAACCAGTGCCAGTGACTTAATCTGGCTCCCGAGCAGCGGTAATCTTGGCCCAAGGGCCAGGGAAGTGAGAGGCAGGCGGAGACCCCTGGCATAAAGAGGCAAAGGGTCTGGGGGCTGGTGGGATCAGCGAGAAGGGCACTCCTGTCCCACCCCCCCCCCGATCCATCCCCGAGGTCCAGATGCGTCCCTGCCGACCTGCTCCACTGGGGAGGTTCAGTGTGTCCCCACGAGCCACCTTGAGTGCAACAGTGAGGGGTGCAGAGAATTGGGTGTCATGGGCTAAACTGTGTCCCCGAAATTCATGTGCGGAAGCCTTAAGCCCCAGGACCTCAGATGTGGCTGTGTTTGGAGATGGGGATCTTTAAAGAGGTGATTAAGGTAAAATGAGGTCACTAGGGTGGGGCCCTAATCCAATGTGACTGGTGTCCTTACGAGAAGAGGAGAAAAACACACAGACACACACAGAGGGGCGACCCCGTGAGGACACAGGGAGGAGACGGCCGTCTACACTCCGAGGAGAGAGGCCTCAGGAGGACCCAGCCCTGCCCACACCTGGGTCTCAGATTCCAGCCTCCAGGACTGGAGACAGTGAAGGTCTGTTATTTAAGCCACCCAGGCTGTGGTGCTTGGTTATGGCGGCCTAAACAAACTGATACAATTGGCAACCAGAATGGAAACTCAAGCAGGAGCCAGAGAAATCAGGGCCCCCCCGAAACACCCGCTCTGTGCCCCTGGCACTCAACGCCCCACAGGAAGTGGACAGCACCGGGTCCCAGCTGTCCCACCACAGTAGCTTCCAGGACGAAGGGGATGGTCGAGGCCCCCAGATAAGGCTGCAAAGTCAAAGCTCTTCAGGCCTGGCCAGCCAGGTGCAAAAGATAAGACAGGACAAGACAGATTTCTGATGCTGAGTTTTCACAGAATGAACAGGCAGCCAAGGAAAGTCCTTCATGAGTTTTATAACTAGAAACCCTCCAAACCCGGCTTCTTGGGCAGTCCCTAAGCCTGAGCCCCAGCCCAGCAGGGAACAGCCGGCTGGCGAGGTGGGGCAGGAGCGCCTTCCCCCAGGCTCCCCTGAGCCCTCTACCCCGCTGAGTGAGCCAGAGGAGAGGGCAGGGACAGGACAGGCATCACACAGGGGAAAGGAGGCGCCTGCCATCCCCCCACTCTGCTCCCGGGACCCTCCCCACTTGTTACAGACATCACCCCTTTGTTTGTGCTCCTTACACGGGCCACGGTGATGCCCGTTACTTTGACCCGAAGGGTCCTGCCCCCACGGCCCACCCCAGAGTGACGTCTGACCGAGAACGGGTTTTCTTCTCCGAGACTCACCTGCTTTGTCAGGTCCTGTATCATCCGGGGGAGAAAATATTCCTCTGTTTGCCTGGAAAGGAAACCACCACAGATGTGAGAAGGACCATCTCGGGAAATATGCAGAACGGCACCCAGACGTAGAGCAAAACTCAAAACGAGAGCTTGGAACTGATGAGCTGGCACAGGAACTGTCAATTTAAGGCAAAAAGGCAAGTATCAGGCTACTCCATGAGGCTCCCAGGCCACATGACAGCGAGATGCTTGGTGCTCTCCTACCATTGGCCTGGCTTCCCCACCCTTTTGGAACTGACCAGGACACCATGGGGGCCTTCCTGGGACAGGCCTTCCCCCATAGCCTCTGCGTTAGCTCCTCTCTGAAGCACCTAGATAACAGTAGTTGATGCACATTTCCTGAGTTGTTTTACAGATGTGAACACCCCCCTACCACCACCACCAAATGGAAGAACTACTCAGTGACCATGAACACATAGCCCTGGAGCTATGGTCTCCTGGAGCCTAAGGACTGATCAGATTAACCCCTGTGACACCACCCTGCTGCCTCACCGTCAGCCAGTCTCAGAGAACTGTGCACAAGCTGATCACGTACCCTGCAACACCCTCCTCTCCTGGCCTTTAAAAACGCTTTGCCAAAACCCTTCGGGGAGCTTGAGGCTTCTCAGGGCCTGAGCCACCTCGTCTCCGTGCACGGCCCTGCAAAAAACCTTTCTCTGCTCCAAACTCTGACATTTCAGTTTGTTTGGCCACACTGTGCATCGGGCTCACAAACTTGCATTAACACTTTCATGCACGGCGTCTGAGAGGCATGTCACGGGGATTATCTGAAAAGAAGTCATATTTCCCCACGGAGAAATCCAGGTGGAATTCCTGATCGAAGTTCCTGAATCAAAATGATCACACTGCATGAACCCAACATACGGGGACAAACCGATATCATCGCTGAAGTTATAAACTAACGTTCCAGATTGTATGAGCTGGACAGAGAGTTTAATACACAACTTTAGTACAAGCCATCCCACGGTCTACACTAAAAGGTAGAATTCGAACAATAGATGGTTTCCAAAGCTGACCTCAAATAGGCTGTTACCAGATGCACCATTAAGACATTTAATTAACTAGATTTCTTTTTGCTTTCTTGGAATTCACAAGAACCTTCTGGGAGATTTTAGTAGCTTTTACTTAAGTAAATTTTAAAAGCAGAGAAACTGAGAGGACAATGCTGTTTCTCCCTCACTAATGAAGGGAAAAGAAACTCTAGACGTCCTCTGACCCCCGAGCTGCCTTGGCATCCCATAATGAGCACTCAGTTCACCATCGGTAGGGCTCGTTGATGGCGATGCTGCTGCATCACAATTTGCTTTTTGTTGTTGTTGTTGTTGTTGTTGTTTTTGGCGGTACGTGGGCCTCTCACTGTTGCGGCCTCTCCCGTTGCGGAGCACAGGCTCCGGACGCCATGGCTCACGGGCCCAGCCGCTCCGCGGCACGTGGGATCTTCCCGAACCGGGGCACGAACCCGCGTCCCCTGCATCGGCAGGCGGACTCTCAACCACTGCGCCACCAGGGAAGCCCCACAATTTGTTTTAGAGGGAAGAGCTGCCCCAAGGTTTCTCCCTTCACCCTCGCCTCTCCCCTCAATTTGCACGAAGATCCATTCAGAACCAGACGCAGGCAAGCCCACCAGGGAACGATGCAGGTTCACCTTTGCTCCTCCCCACGCCCTGCTCCAAAGCCAACCTGCACCTAGCGGATGGCTCGTGAGGTCCGCACAGTTCATTAAAGAGCCAGAGCATCAACGATAAACCCTCCGGATCGGATCGGCAGTGAGTCATTCCAAGCTGGCTTCACGCTGGCCCGCCCCGTCTTTCCAGCTGCCTCCACACCTGAGCCCCTCCTGCTCTGCACAGCTCCTCCAATGGGCTGTTCTTCCTCAGCGAACATCCCCTGGAGAAACCCTAGCAGCATATTTCTGCCGAGAAACCACTCCCGGCCATGCTAATTTCAAGTCTTTTCTGGCCCCCTGGGAGCTACAAGAGCCCCCCCCCCCCAACACCCCCGTCTTGCTGGACTCAGATTTGGGGCATCCACCTAAGAATCTAATGAAAGTGAACCTAGATTCTTAAGCTCTCTGCAGTCAAGAACTGGGCCTTTTATATGTTTTCCTACAAAAGCCTGAAATAGCATCTTGAAGCTGTGACGGACTCGTTACTAAAGCAGGGACACAGTGACACAACCATTTTCTTGTCACCATTTTGGCACAACTCCCGAAGGGTAAAAACTCTGTTTTGTTTTTTAACTGTACCAGAATGAAAGCTTCTGGTTCCAGCTCAATATCCACTGCCACCCTTTCTACAGGCACCATTAAATGAGTGATGGTCTGAAAGGATTCAACATTTCAACATTAGAAATGGAGAAAAAAGAAAGTGAACTAGAGATCTATACTGGCATAGAGTTAGAGACGACAGAAGCCAATGCAAGATAGCAAAGATAATCAGACAACAGAAGATAAAAAGTGAGCTCACAACTAAGAAAATAATTTGAAAAATTAAAACATTTGAAGATATGAAAACACATTAGGTGCATCAAAGAACAGAACAGATAGGGAACCCTTGGGTACTGTTGGTGGGAATGTAAATTGGTACAGCCACTGTGGAAAACAGTATGGATGTTCCTCAAAAAACTAAAAATAGAGCTACCATATGATCCAGCAATCCCAATCCTGGGCATTTATCTGAAGAAAACAAAGACATAATTTGAAAAGTTAAATGCACCCCAATGTTCATAGCAACACATTTACAATAGCCAAGACATGGAAGCAACCTGTGTCCATCAACAGATGAATGGATAAAGAACATGTGATACATATACACAATGGAATATTACTCAGCCATAAAAAAGAATGAAATTTTGCCATTTGCAACATTGTGTATGGACTTGGAGGGCATTATGCTTCGTGAAATAAGTCACATAGAGAAAGATAAACACTGTATGATATCACTTATATGTGGAATCTAAAAAATAAAACCAGTGAATATAACAAAAAAGAAACAGACTCACAGATATAGAGAACGAACTAGTGGTTGCCAGTGGGAAGAGGGAAGCTTGTTTCAGAAGCTGATCACAGGAATCTCTCTTTGGATGAAAATCAGAGGCCCCATGACCTGTAACCAGGGATTATACATACTAAAAAAGTCATCATTTCGGGCTTCCCTGGTGGCGCAGTGGTTGAGAGTCCGCCTGCCGACGCAGGGGACGCGGGTTCGTGCCCCGGTCCGGGCCTTAACAACTGTGTACCAAAATGCTACCCAAAGGGCTGGTCCTGGTGAAATAAGGAGCTTATGCCAGAACATAAACTAAATGCACCACCACTTCTTTCGTTGACAGTCTTGCTACCAAAAAAAAAAAAAAAAAAAGTCATCATTTAAAGGACTCTCTCTCCAACACCCACCCCAGGATGAGAAGAAAACAGCAGTTGTAGACAGCTGACCCAAGAATCTGGACCAGACCCATTCTACTAACTCAACTTACTGTTTACCAAATATTTGTCTCCCCATCAACATTAAAATTATTGTTTTACTTCTAACCATACCTTTGCCCCCAAAGTTCGGATGGGAAGAAAATTCTCTAGTGAAGTTGTCACAGAGTATAAGTACTCGTGACATGTACCAGTGCTTGCTTTAAGTCTACTGCTGAAAGCACATGTAAAATGTTTCTGTGACAATTCAGTATAATTGATAAAATGTATAGCCTATAAAAGGTTTCCTTGCTAGCATACTTCTGTGCTTGTTCACTGAGTCTGATTAGTTTCCCCAACATGGATAACTAGGCGTGTATATTTGTTTATATCTATATCAAGCTGACCTAGCACCGAGTGATAAGATAGACCCATAGCAGGCAGCAACCACCCTGGCATCGAGGGACAAATATTTTGATCATAAATGCTTTTTTTTTTTTTTTGCTGTACGTGGGCCTCTCACTGCTGTGGCCTCTCCCGTTGCGGAGCACAGGCTCCAGACGCGCAGGCTCAGCGGCCATGGCTCACGGGCCCAGCCGCTCCGCGGCATGTGGGATCCTCCCGGACCGGGGCACGAACCCGTGTCCCCTGCACCGGCAGGCGGACTCTCAACCACTGTGCCACCAGGGAAGCCCATAAATGCTTTTTATCAAAAGATCTGCAATCAAAAGGGGAAAATGATGGAGGAAATTTTCACAGGTTGAGGTATGGGGAAGTCATTCTGGCTTATACATGATTTAACTTAAACTTTATACTAACCAGAACGACCTGTTTTGTGGCCTATCAAACATGCATTGTACATCTGTTTTAACCACTGAGGAAAAGAGTGTATTCAAAAATCAAAATAGAGTAACTGTGGTTCAGGCATCCAAAACAGAGCTGGATGGCCATTGTGGGTGTGGTTTCAGACATGCTCCAGTATTACTGAGAACTTGAATTTTCTGAACTGTATCAGACTCAAGGACACCACCAGCTGTTCTCAAAACAGTATCTGCTGGCTGCCAATTGCAAACTTATGGCCTCAAGGTCTCCTCTTGTAACTATGAGATCTTTTACTTTAGGAGTAGCAGCAAACGAGACAGCTCAAGCCATAGCTTCCCAGCAGAGGGCTCTAGATTCTTTAGCCAGAAGGCTACTAGACAATAAAATTGCTTTAGATTATATTTTAACAGAAAAAGGGGGCATGTATGTAGTGGCCAATAGTTCCTGCTATGTCTGTATTAATATCACATCAGAAGTTAAAACCTATTTAGATAAAATCAGACAAAAGGCAGCTTGGCTCCAACAAACGTCATCCCAAAACCTGGATTTGATCCCTTAAGAAATATCTTCTAATGGATCCCAGCAAGAATAAGGTCTATGTTTGAGGGACTGGTTAAACTAGGTATTATCGTTTTGTGTTTGCTAGGATTTATATCCCTTTTTGTCATAACTCTCCACTTGCTGTTTGTCTTGTATCCTTAAGCCCAAAGTCTTGGCCTCATCTTGGGATTTGTGAGTATTTGCAATCAAATTCGAAACGGCTTCGTTCCTCAAAACTTTGTTAGGCCTACATCCCTCTTTAGTAGGAAGCAGCCAGAGTGGTCATGGCCCCCTTTCCTCAAGACTGAGGAATGATTAGAAGGTTGGGGGGACTGAAACCATGCCCCCTAGAGTTAACACAGTTAACAGAAGCTGACGGCTAAAAGGAATTCTTGAGCTTGTCTTGCAGAGCAGCAGGTTGGGGAACAGCTTGTGAAAACCCCTCTGCTTGTAAACCGCCTTTACTGACATAGCTCGCTTTAGTTACTTTTTTCTTTTCTTCCTCTCTTTAATTGAATACGCTCCCAACTTCACGCAGCCCAGTTGTTTTACAAGACCGTGGAGGTTGGCTCATTGGTTACCAGGGAAACCAGCAAAGGGGCATGTCCCTTACCGCCCCTCTGATAAACTGTCATAGATAGTTCTGATCTAAAGATTAGGACAGTCGTCACTAGCTGAGGCCAGGGGGCAAGTATGCAGGCATTTACTGATTAGGCTCTATGACCAAGAGGGAAGGTGAGTCAGGTGAGTGGGGTGTAGGTGAGGCAGGGACTGGTCCCTGCAGGGATGTACAGAGAGCCAAGAGGGCAGCCATCTTGGGTGGCCTGACTGCACAGCTGCAAACCTCAGCATCTCAGCATTTGGTTTGCTGCATGTTGGACAAATGGATGTGTCCAGAGTAACGGACTTGTGATTGGCATCTTAAGTAGGGTCGGGGGCAGTTCAGGGGGCACCTCCAGGTAGACCTACCTGGGGGCACCTCCAGGTAGACAGTATCAGCACTGAGTTCACTGCCTGGTGGTGGTAGAATCGTAGAAAGCTACTGGATGCTGAGTTTCAGCAAATGAGTGACTGACAGGGGAAGACAGTCATCTAGGAGGCTGAGCAAACCCAGGAGGGAAGAGAAGTCCCAGAGAACTGTGACAGGGAGCGGGTGCCGGCTGTGCAGCCAGCCTGGGGGACAATAAGCAGACTGGGGCAGGAAGTGCCTGTCTGTCTGCGGGAGGGGTGTTGGGCGAGAACAGAGATTGAAAGCAAAGGAACTTGACGCTGGTCGACTCCAGGCAGGAGAAATGAGCGAAGAAACACGGATTCAGAACACAATCTGCGGCTCAGTTGTGAACGCAGATATCGGCCGATCGTGAAACACTGAGCTGTGACTGGTTAGAGAGAAACAGCAAGCCCCAAATGGAGTCATCTGCCCCCAGACAGGAAACCAAGACTTAACTGCAGTTTCAACCTCTAAGAACAGTCAGTCTGACGTCCTGATCACAGTGGGGAGGCAGGCTCTGCACGATGAAGACCCTGCTGTTACTATTCACAAGAGCCAAGACATGGAAACAACCTAAATGTCCATCGACAGATAAAGAAGATGTAGTATGTGTATGCAATGGAGTATTACTCAGCCCTGAAAAAGAATGAAATGATGCCCATCTGCAACAAAATGGATGGACCTAGAGATGATCGTACTAAGTGAAGGAAGTCAGACAGAGAGAGACAAATACCACATGATATCACTTATATGTGGAATCTAAAATATGACACAGGCGAACCTACCTAGGAAAGAAAAACAGACTCACAGACATACAGAACAGACTTGTGATTGCCAAGGGAGAGGGGGGTGGGGGGAGGGAAGGACTGGGATTTGGGATTAGCAAATTAGACTGTTACGTACAGAATGGAGAAACAACAAGGTCCTGCTGTACAGCACAGGGAACTCTATTCAATATCCTGTGATAAACCATCATGGAAAAGAATATTAAAAAAAAAAATATATATATATATATATATATATATATATAAAACGGAATCACTTTGCTGTACAGCAGATATTAACACAACATTGTAAATCAACTAGACTTCAACTAAAAAAATAAAAAGATGCTGCTTACTGCTCCCTCCGATTCAGAGGAGGGCCTGGCCTGAAACTATCCTAACGTTTCTCTCGCTAAACACCTTCTTGTCCTGCCCTTCTTCTGCCTATGAAAACCTTCCACTGTGTCCAGCCCCTTCTGTTTACTAGTGGGAGGCTGCCCGGTTCCTGAATCATTGAATAAAGCCAATTAGATCATCAAATTCACTCGATGAATATTTGCTTTTTTCAACAAACTTAACCAGAAAACTGTGAAGTGCCCATGTTAGGAAGGAGAGGTCAGAGAACCTAACAGTGAGGGGCTGAATTGTGTGCCAAGTCCTGTCCTTCCAGAGCAGGAGGCCACGAAATGGCAATGTTTGCACATGAGTTAGAAATACCAAGGCGGGGGCTTCCCCGGTGGCGCAGTGGTTGAGAGGCCGCCTGCCGATGCAGGGGACGCGGGCTCCTGCCCCGGTCCGGGAAGATCCCACACGCCGCGGAGCAACTAGGCCCGTGAGCCACAACTACTGAGCCTCCGCGTCGGGAGCCTGTGCTCCGCAACGACAGAGGCCGCGACAGTGAGAGGCCCGCGCACCGCGATGCACAGTGGCCCCCGCTCGCCACAACTAGAGAAAGCCCTCGCGCAGAAACGAAGACCCAACACAGCCAAAAAAAAAAAAATTAATTTAAAAAGAAAAGAAAAGAAAAAAAAAGAAATACCAAGGCGGAACCCAGAGGCTACAGGAGAAAGGAGAAATATGGAAAATGGAAATGGACAGCTATAGGGAGCAGGGCTTGGAGACGGGGCAGATTGGGGGGGGGGGGGGGGGG